TTGACAACAAAGTTCATGATGGAAATATCTGTTTCATCTTATTTTGGCAGTGACTTGTCAGTTGGATTTACTTACAGAACAATGTATCGACAACCTTTCTGATAGTTGTAACTCAAAACTGTTAAGTACCAAGGTTTTATATAACATACTATTAAGTTGTACAGAATCCAACTCTTGTTCAAAAGATAATAATTGCTATTTGGATACCTATGGTAATAAGAAGTACTCTAATTAACGTGCTAAGAATTCCCGGAAAAGTACAATTTAAGGCAGATAGAACTAGTTGAACACGAATAAACGTATTTTATATGTAATTTTTAACCAGAGGGCAATCAGATACAAAAGAATCATTAGTTTGTACATATACCACAGTCGCTACAGCTTAAATGGGAATCCAAATTTTCGTAATCGATTATACTTCTCCTTAGATTCATCATTTATCTCTTTGGATGTATATTGGATAGACTTTGTATGGTCTAGAATGAACTCATTAGTTTTAGAATTAACAACAGAATCACCTAAGTCATTGTAACGTATTCGGTTGTTGTGACTGGTTCGCAAACCATAGATTTATCAACCACTTTTGGCAGACCTTTCGTAGCTTGTGGAAAACCAGTTATTGTACGAAGATTTTCTTGTTTAAGCGATTTCATGATTGTTTATTTTGCATACGGTCTGGTGATTCCGCACTGAAGAACTTTATCTCCTCTCCTCTCCGGGTCTTTGAATTTTGCAGCAGTAACAAAATTGATCTGTTTTCAAGATCTTGACATTTCTTTCTTGAGCATCAAAATAAGAGGGCTTCGAAATTGTGCGTAATTCTTGGCACTTCGATTCCATAGTTAACAAGTTATCAAGCTTTTCATCAGAACTGTCTTTATTGGTCAATAAGCAAAACTGACTTTGAGGTATTATCAAATGTTCTAGACCCAGGATAGACGGTTCACAGTCAGTGATGAGGAATTCACAATTTAGGATTTAAGATTTGCCGCCCCTAATCAGTAAATTACAACATCGAAGAATAGGAAGTTTATGACCAGTAATACTCAAAATAAACTTTGGTAGGCACAATTATAGCGTAGGGATTTAATAACATCAACTTTCCAACTGACATGATAGATTTGATACTACCAGTGTCAACAATAAAATCGTGAAAAGCACCACTGGACAAATATGATCGTTTTTGAATATGAAGTGAATTACTGGAAGTTGTAAATAAGGATAGTATATGATTATTAGAACCACCAAAATTAATAGAATCCGAACTACAAAGTTTAGTATTACTTGCGGCAACATGAACAGTATCTTTACAGACCGATTTGATGTGTCCCATTTTATCATACTTAAAGAATTCGGTATGACGAAGGATGCATGAATTACGTGAAGTTTACCACAGGATAAGCACTTCCCATTCCTGTACTCAACTCTGTAACCTGCTTCGAAATTCTTTGCTGAATCAATTTTCATATTTCCACGAGAATGGAAACTATTATTAAATAAACGCGAGTTAGAGCGACCCGCAACCTGTTTCTGTAGTTCTAGTATAGAGTCTACAACTTTCTGATCATTTATTCGCATCATTTTATGAGACTTTGACCACTTTCTTCTTTCAAAGCTAGCACACTTAACATGATTAATTAGTAACCCCTTGAGAGATCCATATGACAATGAAAATGGTTTCTCTAGAAAAGCCAGATTCTTTAGCAGGCTATAAGCTTCTTTGTCAATGAACGTCAAGAAATCAGCTGTGAATTTATTAGCTTTGACATATTTTCTAGTAACGCACCACATTCCGAACCGATCCATGTAGTCTTTAAAGTCATCCTCACTTAAATTAATATCCAAATGTCTAAGATTCGACTCAATTGTAACCCCAACATGATGATTAGAAGTGTTTGAACTAGTGTGATGACTAAGAATGCCCGAAATAGTGCAATTTAAGGCAGGTATAACTAGATGACCACAACTGGACATATATTTGAAATTTGTAGTAAGCGCCCAACCAAGTACAAAGGAATTATCAGTTGGTAAAAATACCACAATATCACATTTTTAATAAAAACTAGGTTACCTAAGCAATATGAACTAAGTTCTTCGTTGTTCTACTCACTTTTATAGATAATCTTGAATAATTCGTTTTAATTCACAGTAAATGAATTTATCTTGATCGATATCCTTTACAATGAATAACACTAAGTGATTTTAGCTAGACATCTATTTACTTCTAATATGGAACTCATCCAAGGCATAATGGGTACCCACTAAATCCCCATAGATGGAGTCCAGTAAACATCGGGTCTCGTTTAGTAAGTGCATTTTGCCTATAGATTATATAGTTTATATTACAAACTTGAGTCAATCTGCCAAAGTCGGTCTGTGATGTGAATTAAAAATTAAACATAAATCTCTTATGTTAATGAAAATTTCTTAAAAATAATTCTGCAAAACATTTTCCAGCAAGATTACCTCATCTGTATAGTGAGTTTCATCTACATTGTATTTTTTTGAAAATTGTTCAAGCGAAGCTAATTCACCGTCGTATATAGTAGCTTCTTCTGGTATTTTTGGGATAAAAAGTGTAGAACGTCCAGTAGCCACTTCAATTGTCCCATAACAATCTGGTTCGAGAACACCGAAAGTCCAATGGAAGAATGATTCCTATTTCGAATTAAATAAAAATACATGAATTATGACCATAACTTACGCTTAGATTAATAATAATAATAATAATAATAATAACAAGAAGAAGAAGAAGAAGAGAACAAACGTTGATACTCCTTTGTGGAAATACGATAATAATTTCCTCTAGAATGTGTTTTTGCAGTTTTCATTGTGTAAGCTGGAATATTTCCACAGGTTGAGAGGCCATATTTCACCACAAAGATCACCTTGCTAATATTTCATTGTCTCATCTTTTATATAAGTTTTCCAGGATTAACACCAAACTGTATACACTGACATAAGCAATGATGGATAGTGGCTAGCAGTGAAATCCAGGACGCGCGTTTCGTCCCATTTGGGACTCGTCACCTGGATGTACCTGCATCTCGGAGTTGATGTTCACTTTGGGACTCGAACCCAGTACCGTTCGCTTCAAACGCCATCGCGTTATCCACTTAGCTACTGAGTCTTGATAACCGAAAGGAAGCGAATCCTGGATTCCACTGCTAGCCACTATCCATCTTTGCTTATGATCTTTGTAAATTAAGGCAATATAGAGGCAATACACACAGTATGCACATATGCCAATAATTGATTGATCAACTTCAGTCCTAAACATCAATGGGAAGATTCAAGTAAAACAATACCAAGTGAATTAAACTTCACCCGACTGCACAATCAAGTGGCTATCTGGACGTATTCGATATTATATAAAAAAATAATCAAAGTAGAGGAAAACTTTCAAGTGATGTTGACCAACGGTGAATAGTCTATTCGACTATTCACGTTCGTTAGTGATGTATTTCCAAGCGATAGCTATTCCTTCAGTATATATATATATATATATATATATATATATATAGCAGAAAGTTGACGATATTATTCTTCCTAGACTGTGAAAGCCTGATGCTCTCCTAAACTATGTTTTAAGTGTTACTACCAGGGGTGAAATTATAAATGCCATAAAATCCAACAAATGATCCATACTTTGGTTCTACCTAAATGCAATTTTTTATTAGAGGACCAATGAACGGTATATCACTTATAATTGAAGTTGGACGAAAACCTGTTACAGTCTAGTTTAAGCAAATGAACCTCTGATATCTTCGTTTAACAACTGACTTTAAAAAATAGGTTATTAACAAGGTTTCCATTTTACTTCAGCTAAAATGTCTAGTTTGAAATTGACGCCGCTGACAGACATGTATCTTGATAATAGTAGTGATTTCATTCTTTATTCCAAACCAAACCCAACAGTCCTAAATAAAGAACAAATAACTGACGAGAAGACTTGGAAAGAAAATGTACTCATTACGCTAGCCCTTTACTTTGACTGATAGAGAATGAAATCAATTATTTCAAAGTAATTGCTTTGAGTCTCACGAAGAACTAATATTCCTTCGGAATAATATACCAGTGTATAGGGTCTGTTAACTAAGTCTTAGTCTAATTACAGATCAGTATATATATAGATAGATAGATAGATATAGATTTGTGTCTACCCACAGTTTTACTTATAAATGTCGATATACTAATTTTTATCATTTGGACGATATTTGACAGCTAGTTACACAGTAAATATACCTACATAACTTCTAGATAATTAGTTGTAAAATAGTACTTTGCTCTATCCACCGTAGTGGTTGAGGTGGAACTCGAACCTGTGATTTAGTGACTGAAAGTCGAATACTTTAACCACTAAACTCTTAGACTATGCAATAGCACATAAATCAATAGCTTATAAAATCATGAACACAATAACTACTCCACATACATGTACAGTCCTTAGTCATGGTTAACTTCGTAATCATAATAACCACGTGGTAATAAGTGTACCTGAATTGTCAACTTTCATTGAAGCAAAGGAGATTGTGCTCTAAGCAGGAAAAACATTATAATCATTCTATGCCCAAAATTAGATGAAATATGTGGGATTATGAGAATAAATGTCTCAGTCACAAATCCTACGCATGCATTTTTAAAAATCATATGAAATGGACCTACCTGACGAAATACATTGGCAGCATCCGAATCTCCCAGAAAGGTATCAGTGCCACCCTGTAGCACAACAAACACACCAGAAAGGTTGTGTGTGAGAGATTTGCTAGTATCAAGCGAAGATATTTTGTCCCGAATGCGATTGCAAAGACGCTGACGATTGGCTACATGCAACTGCATCGGAACGGCAAGACATTTACCCAACTGAAAAATAGGAGCTGTTCGACTTACAGCACCTGAAGCCATCTTAAAAAGTAAACAAATTATGTTGCTTGTTGAAAGAAAATGAAAGCAAAAAAACGCTTTCTCAATGAAATGTTTATTTACACAAAGTACAGATGTTAGTTGTTTTTAAGCATATCCGACAAATCTGAAGAATCGTACTTAAGACGCATCCGATATATATGACTCATAAGAGCTGACCTAGTAAAAGAAAAGTTAAAAGTCACTGGTAATGTAGAGGTACCTATCGTTTTGATTGACTACTCCTAATCGAAGTAGCCACTCATCCGTCATCAGACGTAAACACATCCCTTAAAGAAAGAAATGTCAGCGCTAGACGAAATAGTTACCATTAATCCTGTTTGTTTCAAACAGTTCAGAGTATTTTGCACCGACTGGACTGGCATATTTATGTAACCATTTGACAACATCTTCAGGAGTCCAATTTAGTACATGTCTATTTTTCTTTGCCTAAAAACAAAATCTCGTCAACTAGGTTCACGTACAGTCATAGAAGTGTGGTATTTAGAAGCCAAAAAACCGAGATGAAATCAAGCAGATGGTTCATCACAGCGCCGAATTATTAGTTTCATCTAAATAGAATTCATCAATTAGGCAAAATGTAGGATAAAATATCAGCATAATATAAACCAGTTAAGCAAACGAATCCTCAGGAAGTTGAAGAAGATTTATACTAGTGCTCACATCATATAGCCTATAATACAATAGAGTTGTATAGAGTTGTATATATATAATCACTCAGAATTATTGATAGATCGAATATTCATATTGTTCCCACAAAACACTGAGCATAAGATTGGTGCTTAAAAACAACAACTAATAATAGTTGTTGTTATATACATAACACTCAGAAGCAAGTAATTCGACAAACAATACAATGAACCCACTTGCGTAACGCATGCAGTCAAATATGATTCAGATCCAAATGTGTGTATTAAGGACAGAAGGCCTACGGCCTTTGTTATTCCTTTTCTAGTATGCTTCTGTGAGTGTCCAGTCTTCTCTCGAAAGAGTCAATTGAAGGTGCAGACACCACTGCTTCAGGCAGCAGGTTCCAAGTTGATGACTCGGTGTGAAAACCTGTATGCCACGGGTATTTTGTTCGTTCTTGGCTTTTCTACTCGCCTGCTATGTCCTCTGAGGTGTCCCGATATTCAACAACAGGATGAATAGATTTTTATATTCACCACCATTACTATGACCTGAGGAAAGCGTAATACTTTTATTTTCTTGTTAAGAAGCCACTTCGAGTTTCAGCTGTGCCCATGATCAGTCACTTAGTAGCTATAATACAAGAGAAATGCAGTTTGTCTCCAGCGGTGCAATTATGAAAAAACTACTATAGCAGCAGAACGTCACAGATGTGGCAACGAGAGTTCGTTTCCTCGTCGATACTGGCGCAGAAGTAAGCGTTCTCCCAGCGAATTCCAACGACCGGCTTCACGAATCGGCTTTAAACTTACAGGCGGCAAACGGAAAACCGATCGCTACGTATGGCAAAAGGTACGTTTACCTTAACGTGGGTTTACGCAAACCCATCCACTGGATTTTCGTTGCTGCAGATGTTTCTATGCCAATCATTGGTATGGACCTTCTACAACACCACAATCTGATCATCGACACTCGCAAACGGAGGCTAGTAGACGGAAACACTAATTTATCCGTTTGCGTAACTTCTTTTACTGGTTGCAAATTATCCCCAGTCACAACTAAACATATGATAGACCCACTCTATCAGCCACTACTCGATAAGTACCCTGGGATACAACAAACTCAACCGAAACTACCGTGTGTAACCAGCAATGTTACACATCACATCACGACTACAGGACCACCTGTATTTTCTTAAGCACGACGACTAGCTCCTGAAAAGGAATCATACGACCGTCAAGTAGCCCATATGCATCTCCGTTGCACATGGTCCCTAAAAAGGACAGCAACGATTGGCGTCCAACTGGTGACTATCGGCGATTGAACGCGAAAACCATTCCCGATCGTTACCCGTTGCCTCACATTCACGATTTGACAGCTACCTTGAAAGGTACAACTGTCTTTTCGAAAATCGACTTGGTTAAAGCGTATAACAAACTTCCCATGGCCACTGACGACATTCCGAAAACAGCTATCATAACTCCCTTCAGACATTACGAATTTTCGCGAATGCACTTCGATCTAAGAAACGCTAAACAAACCTTCCAAAGGTTTATAGACGATGCCTTTCGAGGTCTCAACTTCGTACATGCGTATGTTGACGACTGTCTAATAGCACGTCCGGACAGAGAATCGCATCTCAAGCATCTAGATCTTGTTTTCGATCGACTACAAAAACATGGCATTACTGTGAACGTTCTGAAATGCCAAATCGGAACTGACTCATTAAACTTTCTAGGACATACTATCGATGCCCAAGGCATTCGACCCCTCAGAACCAAAGTGGTGGCCACTCTGGATTATCCAGAACCGACCACGGTCAAGCAATTACGAACGTTTAACAGCCTCGTAAGTTTCTATAGACGATTCATACCGAAATGCGCGTTACTTATGAAACTTCTTACCGACCAACTTCGTGGAAATGCGAAATCCATCAATTTGGACGACACCGCACGAAAAGCATTCTCCACAGTTAAGGAACTTATCGCTAAAGCAACAATGCTCGCACATCAGGACACTCAAGCACCCACTGGCATCGCAGTAGACGCCTCCGACTCAGCAATCGGAGGCGTCTTACAACAATGGGTTAACAACTCCTGGCAACCTTTGGCATTTTTCTCTAGATGGTTGCTAGACACCGAATCGAGGTACAGCACATTCGGTAGGGAACTTCTAGCTATGTATTGTGCTGTAAGGCATTTTCAACACTATATCGAAGGCCGCGAATTTACCCTTTTCACTAACCATAAACCACCTACCTTCTCTTTAAGCTCTTCTTCTGACAAGTACTCACCTCGTGAGTCTCGACAACTGGACTACATTTCGCAAATTACTTCAAACATCCAACACATTTCTGGAGCAAACAATGTTGTCGCAGACGCCTTGTTTCGAATAACTTCCTTGAACAGTTTCCAAGGAATCGACCTTCTTAGACTCGCCGAGCTTCAAAAAGAAGACACTGATCTTCAGCACGAGTTATCGTCTACAACCCTCAAGCTACGCATCAAACAGATGGGAACAGGTAAGGAAACCTTACTGTGTGAGACATCTACAGGTAGGGATCGCCCAATCATGCCGAAGCGTAATCGACGCAACGTCTTCAATACGTTGCACGAACCTTCTCATCCAGGTGTTCGTGCAACCATCAATCTTGTAGCAGAACGGTTTTGCTGGCCTGGCATGAATAAAGACGTGAGGGAGTGGGCACGCTCCTGTGTAAGCTGCCAAAAATCTAAGGTCATCAGACACAATAAATGTCCCTTAGGCTCATTTAAAACTCCCGGTGCTCGTTTCGACCATGTTCATCTGGATTTGGTAGGACTTTTACCAGATTCAAATGGATACTCTTACCTCTTAACCTGCGTAGACCGTTTCACTCGATGGCCAGAAGCAGTACCTATCAAGGACATCACTGCTGAAACAGTGGCCCGCACCTTCGTCGAACGATGGGTAGCAAACTTCGGCTCCCCTTCAACTATCACTACAGACCACGGACGTCAGTTTGAATCTGAACTTCTCCGTCGTATGACCACACTTTTAGGAATCACTCACTTCCGAACGATAGCCTACCACCCACAAGCAAACGGGTTGGTAAAACGTTTTCACCGACAACTAAAAGCTTCACTATCAGCTGCAAACGTTTCACAGTGGACCGACGCTCTTCCACTCGTCTTACTGGGTATCCGCAATGCAAAAAAAGGTGACATTGGATAGACTGCTGCTCAACTCGTTTTCGGGACGACACTTCGACTTCCAGGAGAATTCGTGGATCCTTCATCTTCTTTAATGAGCATGGACCTAACCTCCTACACGACCAGGCTTGCAAAAGTAATGTGTTCAGTTAAACCTGTTTCCACTCGACCTCAATCAACTGATGTTTTCGTTCAACCTGACTTACGATATAGTACACACGTCTTCGTACGTCGAGACTCGTATCGACGACCTTTCGAATCAGCATATGAAGGGCCTTTCAAAGTTCTTCAACGCGAACCGAAGTACTATATAATCGATAAGAACGGAACCAACGATAACATCAGCATCGATCGCCTAAAAGCAGAGTTTTTTAGAAGGAGATCCTATCTACGTCGATTTTCCTTCGGAACAACCGAACGACATGACTATGACACTTGTAATACGTCATCTGACAACCAGCACGCGCGATGATACTTCGACATTATCTGGACATAAACGTAAAACAACGTGTTCTGGAAGAAGAGTAAGATTTCCAGAACATTTAAATGACTATTGCACGTAAGTCACTAGTTGGCAGTTTGTTTCATCTCGATTTTCCATGGCATTATATATAATATATAAAAAAATTTCATATGCTTATATTTATATATATTTATTATTTGGCTAATATGTATATTAAAAACTTTTTGAAAAAACAGAACCTTTTTTCGTCCATTTTGTGTGCGAGTTTATTTTGACATGCACTTACATATTCTTTTTTCTTTTCTAGGACGGTTGAAAAGGACGATAAAAAGAACGATGAGGTTTACGAGGAACCACAAAATTTCATTGTACACTGTTTTTTTCCACTATATTGTACTTCATGGCCCCTTATAGCAAGGAAAGAGGACCAGACGCTGCTAAACCTTGTAAGCTATCAGAAGAGTGTCTACCAACGAAAAACTCGTTGGGTTTACACTTCTGGATGGCCACGTCTTAGGGCCATCACTACCCGACTAGGGAAGAGTGGTTTGTACCGGTAAATAAGTCCTCAAAATAAATAGCTCTAAGTTTTCGATATTTTATGCTGACCACATGTTTTAATGGACTCACCTTGCTGAAGGCGCTCGGTCATGCATCCGCACCAGATCACGAGTAATAACGCCGTGCTCAACAACCCCTGCAATCGCTAGCCAGATTAGATCAGACGATTCTCGATATATTGATAGCCTACCAAATATATCTTCGAACCTCCTCGCTTCTGTCTTTTGATTTCACTTGGTGGGTACGCTTCATATTAGGTGTTACTGGTTAAAGCGTTGTCAAACTCTGAATACCTGTGGCATCTTCAGTAGTCTAGCCACTCAACTGCATTAATTCTAGTCAGTGTGCTATTCGTTTGTAGGTTTGCGTGTTTTTCAGTTAACTCTGTCTGGAGCCCCTTTGCGGCTACTGCCGATCCCAACTCCGGATAGAGGAGGAGCGTTGAGCATGAGATTAGCGACCCCATCCTATAGAAAGCAAACTCGCTACAGACACGCTAACCAGAAAAATAATTCAAGCCATTACACTGTGCCCTGGGAGTTAGGTCTTCATGTAGAGGAGTTATAACGCCTCATCGTGAATGCCGAGTTCCTTAGGAGGACTTAAGGTTAATGCTCCTTCTGACAACCAGAGTAACCATTAATTTAGGTACATGGAATGCTTGTAACAGCTTAGGTTGGTTGGTTAAGAGTTGACCCCAAACAACCAAGCATATGCCAAAACAGTATTGTTCAAGTATTCATTCACTTCCTTATTTTGTATAAGCGTTATATTCCCTATTATCTTATATTGAATGTTGAGAGCCTTTGTTTGTCTGAACAGATAATCCCATGCTCCACTGTGACCGCGCTAAGATCGAAATAAAGACCTATTCACTACTTGTCTGGTTTCTTCTATCAATAGCACGAGGGTTACTTAAGGCACGAAATTGGTGAGCCCTTTTTGAACACAAATTTAACCTCATTTCTGTTATTAACATTTTTTTTACTTAATCGTAAAAGTAGACCTGATTATCCGTAAACTAATTTGAGTAT